GACGCAATTGTAGAATCCGGTAAAAACCTTTGGGAATCTACTAAGTCCCAAACTACCGGGTTTGGTTTGCATCGATATGATGCACACCTGAAGTAGCATCATCAGATCTGCACGTGTTAAATTAGTAATTTAAAATACGTACGTACGTACATACACATACATACATAAGTACGTACTACTGTACGATAACTTCAACTACGACATATTTGGCTATTATAATATGAAAGGGTGAAATCCTCGCATAGGTGAAAACTTTCTTGATGCAGATCTATACTTAATTAGGGTTAGTTACTATTTTAGGTGGGATTTTGCATCAGTAACGTACGTACGTACGTAACTTCGCGAGTTTCACCCTGTCATATTATGATTTTAAATTGTGATTAGACAATAAGTTCGTACACACGTACGAACGTACATACCTACGTGCATAATGAATGTAAAATTGTGCTTATAAATCAAGGGGCATCTTTACTGATCGTTTTATAAAGAATTAAAATAAATTTAAAAAATATATATATATACAAAATATAGTAAATTAGAATTTTAATTTTAATAAATTTTGTCATGTGAAAAAATATACACTACGTATCAAGAGTTACAAAATACAAAAATAGAATTAAAATTATGTAAATTATAAATAAAATTTTTTTTTATTAATCATTCAGATCCACTAAATTGATTAAAAAATTTTTTTAAATTATATCCACCAATCGATATGTTTATATATTTTTTTAAATTATATCCACCAATCGATATGTTTATATATTTTTTTAAAGAAAAAAAATAAAATTAAATATAATTTTAATATGCTGAAATAAAGAATAAGAATTCTTGTAAATATTTACGAATGCTCAAGCTTTCTTTGAATAATAAAGATGTATAAAGATGTATAACACATACCCATTCTGAACTATTATATATATACATAATAGATCATTTAGACCATATAGGCCATAATAGACTATACATCAACACTTATATACTCTAGATCAGGTTCAATATCTCTACTGTTAAGATGTAATAACATTGTCCTAACATACGTCTGCTCGTATTTAGTGTTCTCGAATATAACTGCGAGATTATCTGATGGACATCTTAAGAAATTTGGTGCAAATACCATTGCTAAATTATTTACATTCATTTTTGTTATTTTCGTTATGTGAGGTTTTGTGAATACCTAAATATGAAAAGGATTGAAACATAGTATATACAAAGTACTAAAGAAAAATATTTCTAAAAAAAAAAAAAAAAATGCAAACCTGCAAAAAATCAATCACAAACAAAACAACTCTTCTATTAATTTCAGGCAAATTTTTAATAAGTTCAATTACCGAATCTTTATTTTCACAATTTTGTATACATGGATTATAAAAATCACTCGGTATTAGTGGATCAGCTAAATCTCGTAACCAAAATTTGAACAGTGAAGCCGGAACATTCGCATCTGTTATCCCATTTATGTCGAACCGATTTTTTTCTATTCTTAGTTTCTATATTAATAACAATAATCAATTAATCAAATTGGTGAAAAAAGAAGTAATAAAATGTCCATATACATATACATAGATATATATATATACCAATTCAGTTACATAGTCGGCATCACCAGGTACACGAAATATACCTTCAGAAGCTTGACCATTCAACTCAATAATCGCATTCGCCAGAAAGGGTAAAATGCGTGGTAATTTTAAATTTTGATAAAAGTTGCTTTGAAGCTTCATTATGGAATCTAATGTCTCACCAAATACGGAAGGATTAAAAGGTGCTTCCTGTGTTAAACGAACGAAAAACATGAAATAAGGATGATGATGTCAATAAATTCCAAATAAATTATATTTCTTTAAAATAGGAATATAACAAACCTTTGCTCTTTCTATTTCACCTAATGTCAAAACTTTACCCCTCGGACCACGTTTACATATCCTAACCAATCTACTATGCACGTGTTTGCTCAACACGTCTATTTGGTTTTCTTGCACATTAAAACTTTCACTTATATAATTCATAAGATATGCCTCAAAATTTTTAGATGGTGGGAAAGTAACTGTCACCACGCTAAGAAGTTCCCAACCTTTTCTTATACTATCTCTTTTTAATATAAAATTTTGAATATAAAATTTTTAAAGATAGAATTTTTTAAGATAAGATAGAATTTTTTAAAATAGAATTTTTAAGATAGAATTTTTAAGATAAAATTTAATATAGAAAAATGGTTATTAAAAAGATTTCCAGAATAATAAATTAATAATATATAATACGTACTTATTGGGATTATTATTTAACTGTTTACAAATTTGAACATATATCTCATCTCGTAATTCGCCATGTAGAATACCACAATCTAACAGCCATTGGATTTTTTCCAATACATTTGAAGAACCACGACTTTTTGACCTATCACCCATTATGCGTTGAATTGTTTTGAAACACTTTATCGCTTCTTTTTGAATATTAGGATTGAGTACCATCAACGGTTGTTTAATTGAATCCTAGAAAATAAATAAAATAAATAAATAAAATAAATCAATAAAATAAATAAATCAATAAAATAAATAAATAATAAATAAAATAAATAATAAATGAAATAAATAAACAATAAATTTTAATGGACTTTATAACATAGAAAATGTAGATATAAATGTCAAAGTCCGAGGGCACA